TTCTACATGGAGCTAGAGAAGTTCTATAAAGAAGACCACACCTTCTACAAGATCATTGTGGGTGATTTTAATGCCAAGATAGGACCGAGAAGATCAGCTGAAGAACTTCACATCGGGACCCATGGCCTAGAATGGAACGAACAGGGTGAGAGACTGTCTGAGTTCATCATGTCGACCAAGACCATTCATGGTAACTCACAGTTCCAGAAGGCAGAATCTAAACGATGGACATGGGAGTCTCCCGGTGGACGATTCTACAACGAAATAGACCACATCATATTCAATCGACGGTTTTGCCTGACTGATGTCTCTGTTGTCCCAAAATTTCGAACGGGATCGGACCACCGTCTCCTTCGTGCAAAATTCTACTTCACAGAGCGGGGAGAAAGGGCTGCAAAGTTCAAAAAGAGAACTCCCAGAACGACCACCAACTGGGAACTCTTTGGTACTATTGCGGCAACATGGGAAGATGCCATTGTTGACAACATTGACGAGGAATACGATCGACTGGTTCAGCACCTCCATGAATGTGCGAGGAACGCCAAGAGAGAGATAGCCACAAAAAGTCGCCTATCTTCGAAAACTCTTGAGCTAATTCGCCAGCGTGGTTTGGCGCATGCCTCAGGCAACCGCAAGCTAACGTCCGAGCTTGCAAAGCAATGCAGAGATGCAATCAAGGAAGACCTCAAAGAGAGAAGAGCAGAAGTACTGATAGATGCGGCAGAAGCCGGGAAAAGTATTCGTAACGCCCGCCTGTCCTTCGCCAACTATAAGACCAAGATGACTGCCCTCCGACGTCCTGATGGATCCATCACATCCTCCAGAACGGCAATGGAGAAGATTATCCATGACTTCTACTCAAATCTCTTCGATAGCCATGTCCACTTGCCGACATACCAAATACCACATGATGGGTATGTCGTTCCTAACGTTCTCCCTTCCGAAATCCGACATGCCATTTCGTTGGTAAAGAAGCAAACAGCACCCGGCCCAGACAAGGTCAGACCTGAACACCTGAAGAACCTGCCGTCAGTACTCATCAATACACTGGCTCGGCTCTTCACTCGCTACCTGTCTGAATGCAAGGTTCCGTCCCAATGGAAAACCAGCAGGACCGTACTACTGTTCAAGAAGGGAGACATCCATGACATTGGCAACTATCGCCCGATCTGCCTATTGTCTGTCATCTACAAGCTGTTCACTCGAGTCATCCTGAATAGGATTGGCAGAACACTAGATGAAGGACAACCATGCGAGCAAGCAGGGTTCCGCAAAGGATTCAGCACCATCGACCATATCCACACGGTAACCAAGCTCATTGAGGTTTCTCGGGAGTTCAAGATGCCGCTCTGCTTAACGTTCATTGATTTAAAGAAGGCCTTTGATTCTGTTGAGACGGAAGCGGTCATTGAAGCCCTAGCCAATCAGGGCATTCAAGCCCAATACATCAGGATCCTCCGTGAGCTTTATTGCGGATTCACTACCAGGATCTCACCATTCTACAAAGAAGTGATCGTTGATGTCAAGAGAGGGGTGCGGCAGGGTGATACCATTTCACCGAAACTCTTCAGTGCCACCCTCGAGAACATCATGCGACGACTGGAATGGGAAGGAATGGGAGTGAAGATAGATGGTCGGCAACTACACCACCTCCGCTTTGCTGATGACATTGTTTTAATAACACCAAACATCAGCCAAGCGGCACAAATGCTGGCCGACTTTGACCGTGAGTGTGGAAAGGTAGGACTACAGCTGAATCTTACGAAGACAATGTTTATGAGAAACAGCCTTGTTCCTGACGCCCCATTCGCTCTCAATGGAACGACCATCTCCGAATGCAACAGCTATGTGTACCTAGGTCGAGAGGTCAACATGACAAATGACCTGGCACCCGAGCTGCGCAGGAGGAAGAGAGCGGCTTGGAATGCCTTCAAGAACGTCGAAGAAATAGCTAAGAGGACGAAGAACCTCCGGCTCCGGGCACATCTCTTTGATTCCACTGTTCTTCCTGCATTAACATATGCCTCAGAGACCTGGGCCCTACGCAAACAAGATGAGAACGCCATTCAGGTCTCCCAAAGAAGAATAGAAAGAGCTATGCTTGGAATAACACGTTTCACTCAAATGAGAGAACGAATCCGGAGTTCTGACATCCGTCGACGATCAAGGATCAGGGACGCTGTCTCATATGCCAAGGTGTCGAAAATCAGATGGGCTGGTCACGTAATGAGATTTAAAGACGACCGTTGGACTAGAGCTGTTACTGATTGGATTCCACGGGATGTCAAGAGACCGCGTGGCCGCCCACCTACCAGATGGTCAGACTTCTTTGTCAAGATCATGAACGATCGGTTTGAGGCCCTCCATGTTCCCGGAGTGAAGAGATGCCATTGGGCTACACTAGCACGCGACAGGGACAAATGGAGACGTTACTGGCGCCCGCTCGAGCAAATCGACGACTAACGGGAAGTTAAGTGATTAAGTGATAAGTGATTAGTTTGGGTCTTCTGGGCAACATGGCAGAACATGACTTCTTTGAAATGAGTATTTTAAGACAGTAAAACCTAAACCTTTAAGTCCTGGAATAAGGAGTTTGGAATGCGGTGAGGGGTCACTGTCACTGTCCTCCCATTGTTCATCGATTTGCTCGAGTAGGCCCAGTAATGTCTCCATTGTGACACTTGTTACTGTGTTTGGCATATCGAATATGTCACGGGGAGCTTGCCAGGCTTTACCATGTGGGCGAGATACTCTTGATAGCTTGCCGGGCTCCCAGAGAAGAGTGAAGGAGTCAAACCTGGGTCAGCCAGGTCGGCCACGTGCAAGGCAAATGCCCTACCCACTGTGCAATCGCTCCAACCCAGGGTGAGGGGTAGTATTGCTGAATAAAGGAGTTTGGGGTGGGGGGATCTGAAGAATTAGATGGATGGAGATGTTTATCCAATGTCTGTTCAAGATAGTGGGATGCTGCAACCCAGAATTATTCGATTAGGTGGATTTCCCACTGCCTCTGGTTTGACATTTTGGTCCAGTCCAGTGAACTAACATGGTGACGGTGTGAACGTGCATTTACCATATTAAACTTCCTTCTCTTACGTTGAACTGCAGCCAGAAGAGGACTTTTGTTGTGCCTGTGCTATTATAGTTTGTCTTCTTTAAGATTCTTTACTTTTCACAGTTCACTTTTACTCACTGAAGATGAATTTATAATTTATATTCCTTTAGAAACAAGGGAGAACTGCCAATTAGAGCAGAGGACTTGAGAGTATGGAAATGTTGTCTCCTGGAGTTACCTACCAGTTGCCTCAGGTTTAGCCTCTGACAGCTGGGCCCCAGGAGGAGAGCTCTCTCCCTGTAAATAGCCAGAGGGAAACGTTAATGAGGAGATGAAGGCTGGGGGAAGAGTCTCTTTTGGGCTGAGAGAGTCAGAAAGAGGAATGAGGTCACCTCCTCATTATGCTATACTGGATTGGGAACAGTGGAGTTGTGGGGTTTTTTTTGTTTGTTTCATTTCATATTTCCCCTCATACTACCCATGTCCCCTGAGAAACACTGCTCTACCGCTGGTAGAGATGTCATACTCTGATAACATGTGTTGTTTTATGTATTCTCAAGGAAGTATGTACACTGGAGAGGAAATTTAGAAACAACAGAGAATCTGGCACCAGTACTGCTGTGAAAATTCAGTTATTCCACTCAAAGACACCCGTTGTTAACATTTTATTCTTAGAGAGTCTGATTTCCTGCTTTCAAAGATTTTTATGCCTACTTTGATGATATGTAAATCTTTAAGAAATAAATCTTGGGACTGGAATGATAGAGACAGCAGGAAGAACATTTGCCTAGCAAGAGGCCATCCCAGGTTTATATGGTCCTCTGAGCACCACCAGGAGTGATCTCTGAGCACAGAGCCAGGCGTAAGTTCTAAACACGACCAGGTGTGGCACCCAAATAGAAATAAATAAAATATCTTTTAAATGAGTCTTTACATGAACTGTGTCATTCCACCCTAGCCTGGCAGAGAAAGGATGAAAAGAGACTCTTTCTTTCTCCCTCTGATATTGACAGAGCCCCAGGGGATATTCATTCCCTTCCAAGCTCTGGGATAGTGAAAGAAATACTTTTTTTTTCCACTCTTTCTCTACCACAAAGGAGACATTGCTCATTAGGTCTCCAGTGCAAAACTTTACCATATGCTGGGGTTGTCATATCATGAAACAAGGGGTGAAGGGTGAAGGGGGATACATCTTCAGTATTTAGTGGTAGAGCATTTGCCTTGCATGTGTGAGACACTGGGTTTCATTTCTGACACCACTTGGTTCTCCAAACACTGCCGGAAGCAACTCTGAGAAACATCAAGTTAGGAATAACCCTCATGCACAACCAGGTGAACCCCCCAAACCCAGACAAATATCTCCAGTTATTTCGCTTCATGTGGCTTTATGAAATAGTAAGGACTTTCCCTTGATGCAGAGTTCCTGGGACAGACCCAGGTTTAATGACCATGTCCCCCAGTATATCTGCCAAAGAAAGTTTAGGCTAAGGAGGAGGAAACAAGAGGTACCACACCTTTCTACAGTCCCCCTAAAGTTAATCCAGGGTCTGATTTCCGTTTGGTTCTTTTCTCATAGGGGAACCATGTGAAATTGTCAGTAGTCAACCTAATTGACCTATAAAAATAGCCGATTCAAATGGATCAAGCTATTATTCTCTGCCAGATAAAATCCAGAAGAGAGAAATAATTGGGACCATAAGCCTCCAGCAGTAAGAAGACAGTGCATATAGCTTCCTAGACATAAAAGGCAGACTCTAAATATAGATGTTCTATCAGTTAAAATATCATACTAAATTCAGCATTTACGAAAAAATCTGAAAGCTGCAAATTGAAGACAAAGAATAAGTCATGCTAAATTTTAGAGCCTGTAACATACAAAATGGGAGTATGCTGAAGATTTAGTGAAACACCTAATTTTTTCTTTTTCTTTTTTTTTAAAAATGAAACCGCTCAAACTAAATCCTCTTCCTCTCATTCTTCCAAGAGAAGAATGCTCATCAACAGTAAAAGGCAGTTGCAAAAGCAAACTTAGAACTGGCTTCATGCTCAGGAGAGATGCTCCAGCTCCTCTTCCTTATAGTTTTAGTTGCTCTACACAATAAGAGAAACTTCTCTAGTAATGAACTATAGAAACGATCCCCAAAAGTATAGTCTTAACACACATTTTTAATTTGTGAAGCGATTTGCAAATGTTAGATTTCCTAATCATCTTCCACCATATAATAAAACATATAAGAGTAGGAAAACAAAAAAGTCATGATCTGCTAAATTTGGTGTTTTTTTTGGGGGGGGGGTGGGAGTGCACACCTGGCAATGCTCAGGGCTTAACTCCTGACTCTACACTCAGAGATCAGTCTTGGTAGAGCTCGGAAGAACATATGTGGTGCCAGGGCTGAAATCAGAGTGGTCACAGGCAAGGCTCCTGCCTACTGTTATATTTCTTGGGCCCCTCAGGCCACTTCTTTTTGTTTGAAAGGGTGGAGGTCACCTGTGGGGTGCTCAGGAAACCATGCAGTATGATCTGCTAACTTTATGATGCTTGGGTATTTGTTTTCATAATTCAAACCAACTCTCATAATAGGGTAAAATCTTAATTACATGATTTTGATCATTAGAAAGAGATGACATGGGTTGAGGATGTGAACCAGCAGTAGGACACTTACCTTAGGTTCAATTCCAGGAACCTCTAACCCCTCCAAAAAAACATGAAAAATTAAAATAAAGAAAACATTTTAAAATCGTATCTTGTGTTTCAGAAATAAGCAACATGCTGCTGATCTTTTTCTACATATTTTGACAAAACTACTACTCTATTTTTTAATAAAATATATTTTGTTTATGCCAAATATTAATGTATTTCTACTAAATATTAATAACATAATTAATTTACTATTATAGATTAAATTGGTGAAATTCTGTATAGCCAACTCCAAGATAAAAAAATCCTAAAATATTTTTACTTTCAGTACTGTGTGGCTATCTAACATTTTTGTTTTGATTAAAAAAAACAAAGCTTCTATCATTTTCTGATAAAATCACTTTGCCACTTTTAGAAAGTAAAGTTTGTCTGTAACTAATACTTTTTCTCAATTATAATAAAAATCTATAAATTAAAAATTTTATTAGAATTCCTTAAGAATTTGGAGAAAAATATGGATTTTCTCCAAAGGCATCATTTAATATTTGATCATGAGAAAATGAAAGTGTAAAAGTTCTTTAAAATCATTAAGGGCTTTTTTTAAAGTGGAAGGAGGAGTTGAATTAACATATGACTATAAATTTCATCTGGGAGAAAAAGTAGATAAGAATAGCTAAATTTGAAGACAAAAAATAGTGACAACCACTTTGTCATTGAACACATTAAAATGCATTTGTAAAGCAACAGCTATTTTCTATTTTTTATTGAACACCATGAGCTACAGCTATTAAAGCAATATAATATTACTTATCATATATAAGAGGGTCCTAAGACATCTTAATATATATTAGATGTATTATAGGGAAAACACTACATGGCAAAAAACAGCCTATTTAACAAATACAGTAAGAAAATTGGCTATCTTAGCTATCAAAATTATATTTTGACCTAAACTTATACAAGAAAATATTCCAGATCAATACTTCAGTAGAAATGACCTTAAAATGCCCAGATATATATTTCCCCAAAGAAAGAGTATAAATATAAATATGTTGGTATTTTGGAGATTTTTTTTGTGTTTGTTTTCCCTTCATTGGTAATCACATAATCACATTTGGAATAAAGTATTAAAAATATAATGCACACATTGGCAAAAATACACTAAGATTGGAATATTTATACTCCAAAATTAGACAAGTAAATAGCTTTCAAATTCTTAGGTTTTGGGTCAATAATTGGCAATATGCAAGAATTTTTAAAAGTTTATACTCTTTAACCTTGCAATTTCCTGGCTAAAGGTTCTATCCTAAAGAAGCATCAATAGAAAAAGGCAGAGATTTACATGAAGTATGGCCTTTGAAGCATCATTTGTAATTATGTACTTGAAATAAATAAAAGGTTCAAAACTGGGGAAAATTATAGCACTACTTTAAATAAATATTGAGAAGTATCCAGATTTAAAATGAGCAAATGCAGACGGGGCAAAGATAGAAGACATAGATCATAGAGAAAGCCCTTAGATGGAGGAGGAAAGCGCTTGGCACTTTCACGGTAAAGCAAAGTACTTGTGGCAAGGGTGTAAAAGCATTCCTGAAACCTACTGTTTTATGAATCAATATTTTCGGATTAAAATAGACAAAGTATTTGAATAGAATTTTTTCAGAGAAGACCAAAGAAATGGTGATTAGAAGATGTGTGGTATCATCTGTCATTAGAAAAATGCAAATTTTAGTCATTGTGATTTGTAATTTACAATACTGTCAATGACAGGGTTTCAAGGATACGTCCCAACCCACAGTTCCCCAGCAGAGTTTGTTTCCCTCCACTGTTAACTCAGGGTTCCACCGCCAACTCCACCGTATCTCATGCCATAGTAAGTTCAGGTCAGTAGACTAAATCTTAAACTCACTGCCCTTGACCTTTTGCTATCCCCCTGCTACCACCCTGTACTTTTTTAAATTCCACATAGGAGGGAGATCATTCTATATTTGTCTCTCCTCTGAAAGACTTCACTCAGCATGACACCTTCCAGTTTCATCCTTGTGGCAGCAAATTACATGAATTGCAAATTAAAATCTTAACAAAATACCCTTTTACACCCTCTAGAATAGCTAAAATCAAAAGAATAGATCATAACAAATGTTGACAGGGTTGTAAAAATATTAGATCCTTTATACATTGCTAGTGGGATTGTCAGCCTACTGTCATTCAGTGCAGCCACTTTAGAAAACCACTTGACAGTTCCTCAAAAAGTTGAAAAAATTACCAGATAACAACAATACCACTTCCCCAAAGCTACCTAAAGAAGTGAAAACATATGTTCCCCTTCATATGTTCTCAAGTTTCTTGCTTCATAGAATTGAGGTTTTTCATAATGAAGTCAGTGGGCCCACATAAGTGGCTTGTGTGAGGTGGGGAAGAGAGACAAGTCACTTTCTCCTGATCTGCCTCTGCCACCCGGGACCAGATGAATAGGCTTGGACCAATAAAATCTGTAATGCTCCCCTACACAGCACAGACCCCATGAGGTGGCTGACATCTGCTGTGTCTTCCCAGCACAGGAGTTGATCCCTACCACCTGATCTCTTGGGGAGCCATGGACTGAGGCTAGAATGAAGAATTGTTCATTGCAGCAAAGAAAAGGCAGTCCTAGGACTTACCCACGGTTTCCAAGATACTTTGTCCTATCGCGAAGAAAAGAATCTCTGGAGTGGACAAGTCACTATCACTGTCACTGTCCTCCGATTGTTCATCGATCTGCTCAAGCGGGCACCAGTAACATCTCACAACAAATTGTGAGATTTGTTACTGTTTTTGGCATATTGAATACGTCATGGGTAGCTTGCCAGGCTTTGCTGTGCTGGTGAGATACTCTTGGTAGCTTCCCGGGCTCTCCGAGAGGGACGGAAGAATCGGACCCAGGTCAGCTGTGTGTAAGGCAAATGCCTTACCCAATTTGAAGGCTTTTAGGAAGGATAAAGGGAAGGTGAAAGAGCAAAGGTAGAGAGAGAAACACGTATAAGGGAGACCGTGGGCTTCTCCAGAGGCAGAGAGTGCTCAGTACATATCTCAAGAGGGGAGATGCAGGAGACACATATGCTCAGGCACCACACGTCTCGGCCATGTAGGCACAAGCAGCATACGGGTTCAAGCAGCATATGCGTGTCCTTCCTTTGTTCAATGTGACTTTTATAGGGCTTCTCCAACCTGCTACTTTGTGAGGCTTCTACCTAGATAAAAGTAGTTGGCTAATGTGGTTGCCAACGGAATAGGTTTGGGAGTGGTCAATGGTCCTTTTTGAAATTCCTTTTTCGGCCTTTGTTCCTGCTGAAACTTCTCTCAGTGGTGACCAGACTTCTCTGAGTCTATTACTGGCATCAGGAAGGTCTTATCAGGCCAGATTTCTATGCTCACAGGTGAGCTTTTTGCTGCTTCAGGGCTATTGGTTTTATTACATCCTAGGAATCCCATTGCCATGAGGATTCTTTCATGTCTACTTGCCTACATCAATAATAGCCAGAAAAGTGAAGCAACACAAAGGTATATTAACTGAGGAATAGGGAAATAAAATGTAGCCTATCCACTTAATGAAATATTATTCAGTTATAAAAAGATGCACACCACAATATAGATGAACCAGGGCTGAAGAGATACCTCAGTGGACTGTGATACATGCTTTATATGCAGGAGGCCCAGATTTAGTTCCCAGCAGCAATCTATACCAAGCCAGGAGTAGTCCCTAAGCAATTCTGGGTGTGGGCAGGCAGATTGTGGGGTTGGAGGAGAACAAAGAAGAATAGAAGATATCCTGCTAAGGGAAAGAAGCAAGTCACAAAGGCCAAATATTGTGTGGCCCGAGTTTATATTGAAATACTCAAAATAGCCAAATCCATTGAAACAAAATTAACTGGTGGCTGCTGAGAGCTATGGGGAAGGAGGAAAGCAGTGACTAATGCCAGCAACAGTGGTTTAAATGAAAAACCTAGAGTTCATTTTGCCACCTGAGTATTTCTCCAATGTATCTTCGTTTCTTGTGCATCTCCTTACCTAAAGCTACTTCTACGCATACACACACACACACACACACACACACACACACACACACACACACATCACGCTTCTCCCCCCCACACACACACAGACACGCACACTCCTGACACTTTTGTTTACCAGTTGTATAGCCCTTCTTCCCAACAGGATGTCTCAGCTTTGGGCTTTCAGAAAGCCGTGCTGGGGAGGGTTTGTAAGGGAAAGGAATGTGTGCAGCACGCAGCTACTGTAGGGCCTATGCTTTCCCTGCAGATCTGTTTTACAATTGTGAAGTCAAAAGGACCGAACATTCCATTTAGCCACAAGCTCTGGGAGGTCCAGTGAAAACAGATGTCATGGACACACGGGAAAAGTCAATCTCCATGAGGCACTTTAGTAACAAGGGGTAGGGTGTCGCCAGCAGGTCAACCTGTAACTGTGGGGCGAGTACATCAGCAGCCTGATGGTGCCTTCAGGCTTCCTGATAC